CACTGCATTCTAGCCACTGTGCCCCCAGAGCTCATATCCAAAAAGATTAAAAATTCTTCTGGATATAGGGAAGGGAAGGAAGAAAATTAGTGCTAAGAAGAAGCAGAAGAATTTGTATTTTTGTAAGCCACCCAAAGTCACTGAGAATGTTGGCTGGCCATGAGATTTTTTTTAAATAAATAAACAATGTGGTTCTTCAATTAGGTGGTAATTTAAACAGAGGAATGGCTAACTTTGTTGAAGCCTGTTTTAACTCCTTTTATTTCTTTTGTATGGATGGTTTTGCATGTTTTAATTATAATTTTGTATTCACATGAATTTTATCACTGACATACCCTGACTGATCTAGGTTAAACTAGATTGGACTCAATTAATACTGTCTTAGATGAAAGATTACCTAGGAATCATAACAGAACAAAATAATAGAATTGGAAGGGACCTTGGAGGTCTTCTATTCCAACCCCTGCTCAGGCAGGGAAACCCTATATCATTTCAGACAAATAGTTGTCCAATCTCTTCTTAAAAACTTCCAGTGTTGGAGCATTTACAACTTCTGGAAGCAGATTGCTCCACTGATTAATTGTTCTAACTGTCAGGAAATTTCTTCTTAATTCTAGGTTGCTTCTCTTTTTGACTAGCTTCCATCCATTGCTTCTTGTTCTGTCCTCAGGTGCTTTGCACAATGGACTGATTCCCTCTTCTTTGTGGCAACACCTGAGATATTGAAAGACTGCTATCATGTCTCCCCTAGTCCTTCTTTTCATTAAATTAGACATTCCAAATTCCAGCAATCGTTCTTTATGTTTTAGCCTTCAGTCCCCTAATCATCTTTGTTGCTCTTCTCTGCACTCTTTCTAGAGTCTCAACATATTTTTATATCATGGCAACGCAAACTGGATGTATATTCGAAGCATGGTCTTACCAAGGCATTATAAAGGCATTAACACTTCACGTGATCTTGATTCTATCCCTCTGTTAATGAAGTCTAGAACTTTTGGCAACTGCTGGCTCATATTTAAATGGTTGCCCACTAAGATTCCAAGATCCCTCTCACACTTACTACTATTGATCCAGGTAACACCTAGAATATACCTGTGAATTTGGGGTCTTTTGCCTAAACATAGAACCTTACTTTTTTCACCATTGAATTTTATTTTGTTAGATTGCACCCAATGTTCAAGTCTGTCAAGATCCTTCTATATATTAAGCCTATCTTCTGGAGTGTTGGCTATTCCTGCCAGCTTGGTATCATCTGCAAATTTGACGAGTTCCCCATTGTCCAAGTTATTGATGAAGATGTTGAAGAGTACTGGGCCNAAGTCAGACACAACTGGGCAGTGGAAACGTTTACCTTTTATGTATTCTAGATTTGGCAAATATACAGGAGAAGCCAAAAGAAATATTCAGCCTTTGCAATTCTCCTCCAAGTATGTATCAAAGGGAGAAAATTAATGGGTAAAAATGCATTTATCAGTGTGGGGAAAGTGCTTGCAAAAAGAGCGCACTGTGATAAGAGCAGGAAAATGTGTTGTCTATCTAACTATTTACGTGATTTTTTTTCCCAATTTGTTTAAACAGCATAAATGAGTAGAAACCAGAATCTACTCTGGTTACTTTTGGATGCAATCTATTTCTATTAGCCACCTGGGTAGGCTCTAAAGAAGGCTAGCTTTCTAAATAAATAGAAAACTCTGGGTGCTGATAAATAGTAGTTTCACTCATATCCAGAACCTATCTTCATCTTTGCATCATTCATTAACTCTATCCATTGCTCATCATAAACAATCAATTTAATTGTGTTTTTAGACACAATTTCCTTTTCCATGTGTGCACATGAAAAGGCATGCTTAAATCACAAACATTCAAAATAGACATTTTTTCTATACATAGATTCACCAATCATTCAAGGGTTACAGCTGAGTTCAGACATGGCGAAACTGAGTGCTTTTCAGCAGGGTTCCCTTAGAATGGCTCAAATAAGATTTTGAGCAGCCTTGTTTGCAGAAACCTTTCGCTCATTCAGCCAGCTCCTTCCTGTAATCCCTTTCCCAATACAGAGCAAAACTCACCCCTCTGATTTACACCGTCTCTTGTTTCTATACTGGCCACAACTCCTGAGAGATTCGGTTAACTTTGATCCGTTGAAGATAGCTCCGCTTAATTTTGAGGGCTCTGTAGTTTCCCTCATCTCAGATAGCATCTACAGCAGGGGTGTCAAACTGAAGTCCCAGGGGCCAGATATGGCCCATGGGGTGCTTACATCTGGCTCACGAGGCTGCTCTGGAATCAGCAAAAAACCAGTCCATGGTGCCTCTGCCAGCAAAAATGGACCTTGGAAGGATCATGGGTGGCCCTCCCAAGCTCTGTTTTCACTGGCAGAAGTTTTCAGGAAGCCATCGCAGCCTAAAGCGAAGCTTGGGAGCCTGTTTTTGCTGGCAGAACACTCGGATCACCAGAGGGACCCCCGACACAAGTGAGGTCGAGCTGGCTATGCCCTCCTGTGGGCCCTCTGAGGTCAAACACAACCCTGAGGTGGCCCTCAATGAAATCGAGTTTGACACCCTCGTCTACCTGTGGTCCTTGAAATGATTGATAACAATTAAGTGTGTGTGTGTGTGTGTGTGTGTGTGTGTGTGTGTGTGTGTGTGTGTGTGTGGCAGAAGTGGGTTGCTAACAGTTTGCACTGGTTCGG